CTGGTGGGTTATCGGTAAGTTTTCGGACTTGCAAGAAAAAACTTGTATTTTGCCCCCCCCCCCCCCGGTGGACGGGGTGTAGATAGCCCATCGAGTAGCTTTGCACTAAAAAAAAAGTATCTTTTTAACCAGCCTTACATGTGCTGTGTGCATCAGTAGCCTTCTACCCATATGTTGTCATTCATATTATGCGCCTAACATGTTGTTAATTAGTTAACTATTTATCTGTTGATTTATTAGCTACGCTATACGTATTAGATACTGTTCATATTACTCCTTTGTTACTATCATTCACAGGTGATCTTCAACAGCATGTTGGTGAATAACATGTTTTCATTGCTGTGTTTCCCACTCCTGATGTCTATGTTTAGCTGCAGTAGTCTCGGCAGACAGCGTAGACAATGTAAGTAAGATTCTTGTTTTTCAATCCTGTTGTGATATATAAATAAAACTTAAACATGATCGAGTGGAGCTGTGGCTCCAGTCGTTCAATCAGGATTGGGTCGTGAAATTTATGCAAATCGGGTAATTTTCAGAGTTATAATCTGATCCCACCCATTGTTAGTATATCATCTTTTTTCAATTGGATGGAGTTTATTGGTTCATCTATGGAATCAATCGGAGAAAAATCGAACCACTACTTCGGAAACGACTGTTAAGATTTTCTTTCGTACCACGAGTAAAATAAACTTATCTTGGTTACAGTTAACCCTAGTTTTAGCTGACATAAAAGAAAAACTGCCAAAGTTTTATGTTAACGTGGAATACTTAAATATTTGTAATTGTTTATCGATATTAAGAACTATTATGAAGCGAACGAAACCAAAATGCTTTAACTAAATCTTGCATTATGGGCTTTTGAAATGATTCTAGTTTAATGTTATCATTTAGGAAGTGATCACTAATATTTAACTGATGTACTTTATATATTTTTTTTACCACGAAGGACATGTTTCGCTCAAGATTTTACTCGCATTCATAACTCGACTGAAATGTCGTCAGGTTGTAAATGTAAAGAAAACCCGATTTAATTTTGAAACGGACTACTTGCCTTACAGCTCTTCACCTGAAAACAGCTTCATCACACGTGATGTTAGGGTTCACAGGTAATATGTTCTGTAGTATGAATAACTCAAAACCTCTCTTGTTCCTTTACAGTTGTTTTCCCCGATGATGAAGAATCATGCTCAAACCGATTTACTAACGATGGAATATGTAAAGATGTTTTGAATTGTAGAGATCTTTTACAAAAAAATGATTATAATTTACTGAAAGAATCAATATGCGGTTTTGAAGGCATAACACCCAAAGTTTGTTGTCCGAAACAAAGTATTGTAAATCCAATAACAGAAGCACCTCCAAAAACCACTACAACTGAACGACCGCCAATACGGATACCATCCAATCTTCCTAAACGTAAGTCAACACAGGCTTAATTTTCTTTTGTATTTGAAATGAACGTTCTATCTACTTATTTTTAACTGCTATTACGGAGCACCTGGAGATGATAACTTGAACTTTAAAGTACGTGCTAATAAACAAACGTGTAAATTTAACAAGTTTCCCAAATCGAACAAAATTAGTTGAGTAATTCCACTTTTCATCATTAGGGTGGTACTCGGGACGTGAATAAACACAAAACTAGTGTGGCTCGTACATTCATTTGCTAATTATTATGCATTCTGTGTGCCTCTAGTGGCACAGCGGTAATTGTCGGACGTGTAACGCTAAAAGCTGGTTTCGATACCTGTGTTCGGAACAGCACAAATTGTGTTTAACTATAAACAAACGAGCATCTAGAAATATAAAATGCATGCCTTACAAAACTTTTAAGAAATAATCTGTTTTGGAGGTGTTATTATATTATTATAGTGAAAAAACCCTTGTCAGGTTTTATAGGGCCGGATTCTTTACAGTAGGTGTCTGTGACTTGTTGCCACACAATCCACTTCTTTTAGAATATATTCAAAACAAGTCAAACGTATATACAAAAAAAATTCGTTACACTATTGCTTACCACAGTTATACCCAGAGCTTTTAAATAATTCTTATTTTCAGTTCATATTACGATATTTTATCTAGTCGTACATTCCTTTAGGATTAATTTTTATCACAATATTTAATTTTTTTTAAAACGTTTCCTAGTTCTTTGTGCGTATCCATAATTTCTTCCATTTTTGTGAGCTTTGAAACCGTCAACTTAAATCACCGAAAATCTAGCCGGTAAGGATTGTAGAATCTCATTGTTGGGGGAAGGGGCAGTTGGTTGTTTTAAACATCACATGTAACTTTTCCACTGTCTAACATTAGATAACTCTTTAATTTGTTTTGTGATAGACCTTGGGGGGAATTGTCCCCCTACAACTCCGGCTAGAGCTCCCTTGATAATAATCCGCCAACTATCTATTAACTGGAATTTCACTTATTTACCCTTAATATGGTAGCCATTTTGAAGTTCACTAATTTCAATCGCAGCATAAATTCTGAATTAAATCTACTTTATATGGGTTTCGGCCATTAAGAACGTATCTCGACGCACCCTGTCGCACACCACTTCGATAATACGGAAATTATATATATATCTCCGACACACACACACACACACACACACACACACACACACACACACACACACAACAGCGAGTGAAATGTCGCACACTTAATTATTCCAGCCGCGTACATCCTCAGTAATGACCCTGGCAGTCAATAGGCCTAAAGCCAAAATAACCAATTGGTAATATTGCAAAGCGGCCTAATGATTCAACGTGGTTGGTCTACAAATACTCCCACCCCCACCCAAACAACAACAACAACAAATACTGGTGGCGCACATTGCCTTGATATTGGTGCACGTGAAAAAATTCATTCCTCACATGGGTTGAAAAAATTAGAGGGAACATGGCATTAGTTTTATGTTGTTAGGAAATGCTAACAACATTGGATTGCTTAAAGCAATGTAAAATCTACTCTCTATAAACGTCAATCAATATTCCCAATGCTTATGTATTTATGCTTTAAGACGCTTACTCCAACGAATTTAGTCATGATCAATTTCGAGCATGTAATGCACGCACCAGCATAATAATAATTAGGGAAGGTGGAGGCAGCTTTCTTTACTTCCCCAAAGATGGATCATGCCTATATACTAAAACGCCTACGAAAAAAACATCTAAATGAATTAAATAAACTGGTTCTTTGCTGACATCCATGACTTCGTAACTAATTAGTTGCACAAGTATCTTACTCCTAGAAATACCTCGTAAACCTGATATGCCTTGAAGCCAGTGAGCAAGTTAATAATTCTCTGCCAACCTGTACAGATCTGATAAATACAACTTTCATTCATATCCCCAGTCATGTCAAATAAAATCTAATCTTTACAAACGTCAATCAATATTCTCAAATCTTCTTTACCATTTTTCATATCCATTTTTCATTTTGTTTTATGCAATGTACATGACCACAATCTCAAGTCTTGATCAGTTTTCCATGATTTATTCACGCTAAGCACACTCCTTGGTAAACATTCTGATCATACAAGTTTGTACTCGTAGAGAGCCTTGCCTATCTACTATATCACTTCTAATTACACACCAAACTTTAGAAATAAGCTCGTACACAGTTTGCTGTTATTTTGCAAGCAGTTATTTTTCTTAACCCATTATAAGTGGTATCTTTTAACGACTTCTATGAAATCGTATCTTTCCATACAAGTAGTCTCTTGGTGAGTAGTTTATTTCGGTTATGAAAAGTCGCTTTCTTCACATTTCTCAATCAAATAATGAAATCAGATTAAAAGCTCGTGTGTAAAGCGAACTGATATAGTAGATTACAGTGTAGTTTAAAGTATAAAAAAAAAAATTATCTACCCCTATTTCAATTTTGTTATACAGGTTTCTTAATGATCCTACTCTTGACCATGTGAAAAGTAGGGGGCGTGACTTTGTGCTAAAACACTTTAGGAATAATAATAATAATAATGGTCCAAGACTGTGGAGTTATTAGCTAAATAAATATTGTTATGTATTTGCTTGTTTGATAATTTCCCGTAAAAATTCTTCCCGAGGAACTTCAGCGAAACAAGTTCTTTCTTAATTAAAACTAGTTTATTCTTTCTCGTTACAAACTTTGTAAAACACTTAACTTCCACAGTCACTTTAACTTAAACACACACTTTAATTCACAACGATTCACGCACTTTACCTACGGTAACTACCGCTCACTTGACTCGATTATCTGTCTCTATATCTCCCTGTCTACAATTCCATCTCCACTTTATTTGCCGGGCGTGTATACTAAAATAGAGGGCGCGTAGAAAAGACTAGAGTTGCCAAGAAGTGTTATGATCCTTCTAGAAACTCGTCACGTGACTTCCGCTGTCGTAACAATATATTTTTTTTGTTGTGCCACGGTGGGCGGAGCCGTGTAATGACAATCTCTGACAGCCCCTTAGTTCAATGTATCATATCAAGTTTGTTTGGGATTGGTCCAAAGTACATGGGAGGGGGGGGGGGGGTTCGCGGACAAACAAACAAACTTTTTTTTAAAACTTTCATAAGTATAGATAATGTTCGATGATGAGGAACCCACTTTGAGACTAATAATAGTTGGATACGGATTGAATGGGTAATGAAGAAAAACTTTAATATAAGTTTAATATAACAGCAAATGTACAACGTTTCGACAAGGTTTTGTCATCATCAGGTACATGTAATTTACACTGACCGGAAACTGTTGCAAAACATAGAAGAGGTATCTTGGCACCCCGGGGTATTGGTTTAGAGCAGGGTTGTTTTGTTCAAATAAAATGGATTCCTTGATTTTTCGTTTGTTTATGTTAGGTTCT